TCTTGTTGTCATACCCATAAGATTCAATGATACAGAGTTATCATTTCTTTGTGATATGAAGACTTGGAATTATTGCTCTTATTGATAGAATAACAATGATGTTATGCAGAGGAGGAAAATGACTTATAGCCAAAGGCTTTAATAACATGTGTTTTGAATAAACTATGTTTTTGGCATATTGGATATTACAATTTAAAATTGTTCAAAAGGGTAAAGGTTAAGCCAAAGGGGCTCTGGTTGATCTTCAAGACTAACCAGAGGGCCTCTAGTTGTGGTGGAAAATCTCTAAGTTTTTCAAAACTTATTTTGACCCAGATGCTCTGTATCATAAAATTTATCAAGTACGAGCTCTGTATCTAAACTCTTGACTTTTCATACAAACTTTATAAATTAAACCTTTTTAACTTTATCTTTTACAACTATAGTAGGAAATAGAGAGGCTCTGATTAACTTTCACATTTTACCAGAGGGCCTCTGTTATGTTAAAATCTCATTTGTCCTCTTATCTCTTCTAACTTTTCATAAGTTTTACTTTAAATAGACTAGAGGTTATGATCATCCAGAGAGCCTCTGGTTAGTCATGCATCCTTAGTTATTTTGAAAATTGGAGACCATAAGCTCTGGTTGGTAAGACCAGAGGCTCTGGTCAACCAGAGGGGCACTGGTTGGCTTAATTATGGATTTCTTTACACTAAGTTGAGTGACCAGATGAGCTATGGTCCTTAAGAGGTAGAGGAGCTCTAGGTAATCCCACATAGTGGGATACGAGGACTTTGAGAACTTCGCACAAAGTGATGCGAGGACCTGAGTGGTTATATGCCATGTATGGCGAGGAAGATTTATAAACTCTTACTGAATTATGATATTTAAGTTTTGACATATAAAAAGTTGAAATATATTTGTATGTTTACAAAGGTAATTTTAGAACATGTTTGGTGATTTTTCACCCTGTAATTGAATGAAAAAGGGATTTTCCACTATACATCAAGATCTAACCCTCATTTGTGTTTAAAAAATGTGCATTGTAGGTTAGACTTTACCAAGGGACAAGGGGAAGGGTTAAATGTGAAATTTTCCAGTTATGCTTACTTAATTTATGAAAAGAAGCATATTATCTGTTGGATTTTGGAGTACTTGTTATTAATGCAAGTTGTGTACAAGAATATTATTTTGGAAATTTTTGGTTGTAAATTTTATAATATAGCTTCTTATACTGTTGGAACTGAAGGTGTACTATTTGTATTTCTTGATATATGAAATACATGGTTATATGCAAATGTAGATCTTGGGGTGTTACATGGGACATGGGGCGTTACATATCCCATGTGCCTCTCACAGTTCTAGTGTTTATGGGAAGTAGTAATTTCATGATATCAATGTTCAAGGGAACCCTGTTGATAAGTATCAATTTATTTGATACTTTTACACTTTTTCTTTACTTTATTTACCCATTTTATTTTCCCAAAATTCCGCAAATTGAGTCTTTTTGTTTTATTTTTCTATTTTTTTATATTGGAGCTAAATTGATGTGATAAACATGTTTACTTCTTGGATATGTGTTGATTTTTGGAAAATAGCCATGTTAATAAGTATTTGGCTGAGCATGCTACAACATGTGCTGCATGACGATTCCAGGGGCACTTTTGAGAATAGTACGGGGAATCTTTTGAGGTTAAATCCCCCCTTTTTGCAGCCCATCTCTTGCATATTTTAAGATCTCATGGTACAAATTTAAGATCTGATTTTTGTTATTATTTAGGTAACATGGCTTTCCCAATTGGACTATGTAAAAAGTTGGGTAAAGTCTTTATCTTTTGATTCTTGTCCTTTTTTCTCCTACTATATAAAGAGGGGAGACTTGGCATTGTAGAAGACAAGTAATTTTAGAGAAGCAATCTAATAAGAAACTTGAAGTAGTTTACTTTGGATGTTGAAAGTTCTTTTGGGATATAAAGCAATGTTTGGAAGTATTTTATATTTTCTTTACATTTAAGTCTTCTTTATAATTCATCTTAGCATTTATTTCTTCTACTTTCTTTTCTTCTCTTATGTTCTACTTATCATGCTTTATTATTATTTATGCAATTAATTTTTCTATTTCAAGTATCGTTAATCGTTTTTATAATTCCGCTTAGCATTTATTTCTTCTACTTTCTTTTCCTTTCTTATACTTTATTATTTACGCAATTAATTTTTCAAGTATGGTAGGCTAAAAATATAGCTTGGGTGTTGGGTGATGTTAAGAGAAACACCGATTCCGTTGTAGAAATAGAAATAATGAATCTTCACAACTACGTCATTCAAGTTTTTATTGCAAAAACATCATCCATGGACAAGTTGATCACTTGTTTAAAAGTGTTAAAGTGTGTTGGATTTAGAGATAAACCAACAAACATGTCAACTTGAATGATATGGAAGTAGGCTCGAGAGAGTTACTTAGAATCGAGGAGACTCGTTTTCACTCCATTTAGCTTATAAAAGGAATAGTTTGAGCCAATGTCGAGACTCCAGCCTTGCATAGAGATATGAAGGCTTAATCTAAGACTGTGTGCCATTCTACATCTCGAGAAAGTACGTTAAATAAGCTATTAGTTGTAAAGATAAGTTATTTATAAAGCATGCTATAGAACCATGTTGTAGCATGTTGTCAACTTAAAAATCGGTTTAATATCATAACAAATCCCTACTCCCTAAGCTCTCTTTTATTACTTGTTCACAACAGTAGTGTTTAACCAACTCACCACAAATATTTCTTCGAATTCACCATCTAAAATCATATCTTTATTTATACTATTAAAACGAACTTTTATTCCTTTTCTCTGTGGACGATATTCGGTATTTTTACCACTTTATTACTTGTAAAAGACGATAGTGGATTAATAAGTATATACTTGCACTAGTCTCCATTTGCTAACAGTCCGATAGATTTATTTTATATAATTCTCGTAACAAGTTTTTGGCACCGATGCCGGGGAATAGGCAAAAGTTTTTTTTAGTAAATCTAAAGATTTGATTTTTATACCATCTTGTTGCTTGACTTTAGGTGTGGTGTATGCCAAGGCTACCACAAGGGGAGATTTTGGAATTGGATCCGGATATCGAGCGAACTTTCAGACAAAGACGAAGAGTGCAAAGAGCATTATTATCTACTCAAACCTCTTCCAATATGGCTGAAAATCCACTTCCACCAACTCCCCTACCACTGAATGACTCTGAAAAAATAATCAGACTGCAAACTCAAAAGATGGAGGAATTATGGACTATGCCATTCCTGTTTTTTCATCAATTAAATTCAAGGATAATTAGACCAGAAATGGAAGCTCTCCATTTTGAGTTAAAACCATTGATGTTTAATATGTTGCAAACCAATGGTCAATTCAGTGGTTGGCCATCTGAAGATCCACACTCACACTTAAAAAATCATTCATGGAAACGATGCTCTGAGACTCACATTGTTTTCTTTTTCTCTAAGGGATAGGGCAAAGCCTTGGTTCAATTCCTTACAACCAGGATCTGTGGATTCTTGGAATAGCATGGCAGAAAAGTTTTAAAAAAAATATTTTCCTCCCACTCGGAACGCTAAGTCCAGAAACGAAATTTGTCTTTTTAAACAAATGAACGATGAGGCAGTTCCCGATGCTTAGGAAAGGTACAAGGAGCTATTAAGAATGTGCCCTCATCATGGCATTCTATATTGTATACAGCTCGAGACATTTTACAATGGGTTGAATCTCACTGCAAAACAAATGCTCGATGCTACATCAGGAGGAGCTTTCACAACTAGTACCTATAATGATGGATATGATATCCTTGAAAAGATTTCTAATAATAATGGACATTAGGTAGATCCACGTGGACTAGTACCATGCAAAACAGTGGGAGTTCGTGACATAGATACTTTTACAGCATTGACGGCTCAGATGACTGCAATGACCAACTTGATTAAAAATTTAACAAATGGTCAAGCAGCACAATCTCTAGCCCCAACACATTCTCCAACTGTTGAGTCAATACAATGTGTGTATTGTGGTGGAGGACATCCCTTTAAACATTGTCCATCTAACTCTGAATCAGTCAACTATGTAGGGAATCAAAATAGATCAGGACCATTTTCTCAAACATACAATCCTGGGTGGAGACAACACCCAAATTTTTCATGGCACAGTCCTGCTTTAAACACACCAATGAACAAACCCCAAGGGACTTCACACTTTCAACCTCATCAGTCTCAACAGCATCATCAGGGTCAAGCTCCAAACTATCACCAAAATATTTTTCATCAACAAACAAATCAGTCATCTTTCTAAAACAAGTCTAACCAACAAGCAGAATCTTCTACTTCTTTGGAAGCAACTCTCAAAGGATTCATAAACCAAACCAACACAGCCATGAACCATCAGAACACTGCCATAAGATCTCTAGAAACACAGATTAGTTAACTTGCACTTGAGGTAAGAAATAGACCTGCAGGTACTCTTCCTAGTGATACAGAGATCCCAAAGCCAATGATGAAAGAGCATGTGAAGGTAGTGACTTTAAGGAGTGGAAAGAACCTTATAGATAGTGAACCTATGAAAAAGTCTGTTGAACCACAAGACCCAATTGAGATGGATTTCACAACATCTAGTTCAAATATTGTCATAACCGCCTTGAAAGATAAGGGAAAATCAATAGAAATAAGACCACTTCCTAAGAAAGCAGACTTCCCCTTGTTATTTCCAAATGAATGCAAAAAGAAGATATCATTTAAAAATGATATTGGAACATTTTCTTCTGAAAGTAACAAGAATGTTGAGTCACCAGTCCCTCATAATGAACCTATCATCATCCAGGCAACCCCTAGTCAGTCCTCTAAGAAACCAGTCATAGCCCCTATTCCTTCTTATATACCTTTTCCACAATGGTTGAGGAATCAGAAAGAAGAGTTGCAATTCAAAAAGTTCCTTGATGTGTTCAAACAGCTACATATCAATATCTCGTTGGTTGAAGTTATTTAACAAATGCCAAGTTACGCAAAATTCCTCAAAGACATTTTGAGCAAGAAGAAGAAACTGAACGAGTTTGAGACTGTGGCCCTAACAGAAGGTTGTAGCGCCCTCCTTTCAAATAAAATTCCCCCTAAATTCAAAGATCCCGGGAGTTTCACAATTCCCTGTTCAATAGGTGGGAAAGAAATTGGAAAGGCTTTGTGTGATTTAGGTGCCAACATTAACCTCATGCCCTTGTCAGTATTCAATACCTTAGGCACAGGTGAGGCTAGACCAACCACAATCACCCTTCAATTAGCAGACAAATCCATAGCTCATCCAAAAGAAAAAATTGAGGATGTATTAGTTCAAGTGGATAAATTCATTTTTCCCGCTGACTTTATCATTATTGATTTTGAGGCTGATAAAGAAAATCCAGTCATCCTAGGAAGACCATACTTAGCAATCAGTAGGACTTTGATTGATGTTCAGAAAGGAGAATTGACTATGAGAGTGAATGATCAGGTTGTCACTTTTAATGTTTTCAAATCCATGAAATACCCTGATGAAAAAGATAAGTGTTCTAACTTGAGTGTCATTGAGTCCTTGTGCCACAAAGAAGGAGTTAAATCTATGTTAGACTTAAGCAAGACTGAAGTTGTTGAGAAGATAACGCATGGAGAGGAAAGTGAGATCACCCTGTTGTAAGATACCCTTGCTTTTGAGCTATAAAAAAGTGAGAGTGGAAAGACCCATGTCACATCTATTGAGTCACCACCAGACTTAGAGTTGAAGTTACTTCCCTCACACCTAAAGTATGCATTTATAGTAAAAGAAGGGAGATTACCTGTCATTATCTCATCCACCCTAGAAACACATCAGGAAGAGTAGTTGATAGACTTGTTGAAACTACACACCAAGGCTATTGATGGACCATCTCTGACCTAAAGGGTATCAGTCCTTCAATTTGTCAGCATAAAATCATCTTAGAAGACAAGAGTTTCACTTCCATTGAACCTCAAAGAAGATTAAACCCAATAATGAAAGAGGTTGTGAAGAAAGAAATTTTAAAATAGTTGGATGCTGGCATAATCTATCCAATTGCAAGTAGCTCATGGGTAACCCCGTACAGTGTATCTTTAAAGAGGGAGGTGTCACTGTCATCTCTAATGAGAAAGATGAGCTCATTCCTATAGGAGTCGTGACTGGTTGAAGAATTTGTATACCGTAGACTGAATAAGGCTACTCAAAAGGACCATTTTCCTTTGCCTTTCATAGATCAGATGTTAGACGGACTAGCTGGAAAGGAATACTATTGTTTTTTAGACGGATACTCAGGTTAGAATCAGATTGCAATAGCCCTGGAAGACCAATAAAAGACCACTTTTACATATCCCTATGGTACCTTTGCTTTTAGATGAATGCCATTTGGTCTATGTAATGCTCTCGCCACTTTTCAAAGATGTATGATGTCCATATTTTCAGACATGCTTGAAGGTTCCATGGAACTTTTTATGGATGATTTTTTTTGTATATGGTACATCATATGATCAATGTTTGAAAAATCTTGAAAAAAGTCTTGAAAGGTGTGAAACAACTGATTTGGTTTTAAAATGGGAAAAGTGTCATTTTATGGTCACAGAAGGTATTATGCTTGGTCATTTGATTTCAAAAAGGGGAGTTGAGGTTGATAAGGCAAAACTTGAAGTAATTGAAAAATTATCTGAACCAACAACCGTCAAGGGTATACGAAGTTTTCTTGGATACGCTGGTTTTTACAGAAGATTTATTAAAGGTTTTTCAAAAATATCAAAACCTTTATGTTCATTACTTCAGCATGACCAAAAGTTTGATTTTAGTGAGGAATGTAGAAATGCATTTCACACTTTAAAAAAGGCTCTGGTTACTGTACCCGTGATTGCTACTCCAGATTGGAGTAAACCCTTTGAGATTATGTGCGATGCAAGTGATTGGGCTGTGGGAGCCGTTTTGGGACAAAGTAAAGAGAAAATTTTTCATTCCATCTATTACGCAAGGAAAACATTGAACGAATCACAAGTGAACTACACAACAACAGAAAAAGAATTATTGGATGTGGTTTTTGCTTTTGAAAGATTTAGATCATATTTGATGGGAACAAAAATCATTGTGCATACTGACCATGCTGCCATCAAATATTTGATCTCGAAAAAAATGCAAAACCCAGATTGATAAGATGGATTCTGTCATTGCAAAAGTTTGATCTTGAAATAAAAGATAGAAGGGGAGTGGAAAATCAAGTAGCAGATCACCTGTCTAGATTAGAGAAGCATCCTACTGATTTGAAAGACATCATAGAGACTTTCCCTGATGAAAAAATCTTGATGCTAAAGCAATTGGAATCTCCATGGTTTGCTGATATAGCCAATTATTTGGCTTGTGGCATTAAACCTTCAGAGTACACTTGGCCTAAGCTCAAGAAGTTTTTGCATGATGTAAAATTTTACCTGTGGGATGATCCTCTTTTATTTAAAATTGGTGCAGATCAAGTCTTGAGAAGATGCATTCCAAAAACAGAGGTAACAAAAATCCTGAAAGATTGTCACAAGGCACCATATTGTGGCCATTTTGGTGGACAAATGACAGCAGGCAAGGTATTACAATCTGGCTTCTTTTGTCCAACACTTTTTCAGGATGCTCATAATTTTTCCAAAAGATGTGATGAATGCAGAGAAGTGGCTCAATTTCCTAAAGGAATGAAATACCTTTGAATGGAATTTTGGATGTTGAATTATTTGATGTTTGGGGAATTGATTTCATGGGACCATTTAATCCCTCTAATAATTGCCCATACATTTTAGTCGTCGTTGACTATGTGTCAAAATGGGTGGAAGCAGTGGCATCTGTTTCAAATGATGCAAAAACCATGGTTAAGTTCCTCCACAAACAAATATTCTCAAGGTTTGGCACCCCAAGAGCACTGATCAGTGATGAGGGTACTCATTTTGTGAATCATTTGTTGCATGGAGTTCTTGAAAAATACAACATTAACCACAAAGTTGCCACCGCATATCACCTGCAGACTAATGGATTGGTAGAACTTTCAAACCATGAAATAAAGGAATTTTGAAAAAAAGTGGTTAAAACAAGCAGAAAAGACTGGGCTTTTAAACTGGATGATGCTTTATGGGCATATAGAACTGCATTTAAAACTTCAATTGGTATGTCTCCATACAAGCTCGTTTTTGAAAAAACATGTCATCGTCCGGTGGAACTTCAACATAAGGCCTATTGGGCAATCAAGAAATTAAATATGTGCCTAGATGATGCAGGGAATAAAAGAAAATTACAGTTATGTGAAATGGAAGAGCATAGGAACATGTCCTATAAAAATGCCAAGCTGTACAAAGAAAAGACTAAACAGTGGCATGACGAAAGAATTCAACATCGAGAGTTAAAAGCAGGACAACAAGCTTTATTGTTCAATTCTAGATTGAAACTGTTTTCAGGTAAATTAAAAACTAGGTGTTCGGGACCGTTTCTAATCCACAAAGTTTACCCATACGAAGTAGTTGATCTAGTAAACCCTGAGGATAACAGTCTGTTCAAGGTAAACGGCCAGAGAATAAAAATCTATATGGATGAGCCCAAAAGCCAAGAATACCCAGCTTAAGTTTTTCTGCATAAAATAAGATGTAAATATATATCGTACTAATATTTATATAGATATATGTGTAAATAAGTAGATATGTGTATATATGTATATATCTTGTTTCCTTTTATTTCTCTTAATGTTAAAAAAAATTGTATATAAATTCTTTTTATAAACCTTTTGTATTCCCCCCCTCTTTTTCCCTTAACCGTATGAAAACCTGCTCCCCCTTCTCCATCAAACTGATTTTTGTACTAGAAGAGGAAGCCATCACCATTACCATCACAATCACTGTACACCTTCAATCTTAAACCTTACCATCACAGCCACTGTTCCCTTGCTTTCCTTCCCATCATCGTCGGCGACCGCTCATCCTCTCCATCCATTGCATCACCATCATCGCACTCGGTCATCAAGTGCGACACTTCTTCTCTTTCTTTTTAACTTAATCAATCAAGAAGGCAGTAGCATTAGTGCTTGATTCGAACATCAATAGGAAGAGGGAAAAGCCAAGGAACTCGATTTTTGGTCGAATAACACCAGATAGGAAAAGGCTTGGCATGGATGACCAACCACCACCGGGTTCCCACACCCTTCCCAATCCTCCAACCCTCCCATTCCACAAACCACCATTCCCATCCCACCCAACTTAGCTAACCTACCTCCATGGTTACTAAGATCAATCCTACCCTGCCCCACACCCCTTAGAACCATTAGACCTACCCAACAAACCATTCCCTTAGCCCAAAGAGCCCTTCTACCTACTGTATCAACCCAAACAACCATCCCACCCACCACCTTAACCCAAACAGTCCCTTTAGCCACTGTCACTACCCAAACAACCCCTATGACTGCTGTCTTAACACAAACAACCCCTAAACCCACTGTTATACCAACCCAAACAGCCCCTCCCACTACTACAGCACCACCCCCTCTCTTCCCGCTAAACCTAAACCAAAAGCCCGTCGTCCAGCCACTAGATCAACCTAGCGACATGCCACTAAGCCTATGACCATAGAGGAAGGCGATGCAATTGATGTGGAGACATATGTTCCCAAGGGTTTTGTTAGGATCAAGCGCTTACCCACTACACCAAAAGCAATTGCCTTGGTGAAGGCGCAACCTTATTTCTCTTATAGCGTAGCAGCCAGCGCCACGTTTCAATTTAGGAAGATGATGGAACCGTGACCAACAATCCCCCCCCCCCAGCATCTGCCGGTACTAATAAGAACTTCGTTAGAAGTCAATGGCCGTGCAACATGCCTTTCTCATAATTATGCATTCCTTGCATATTATGCACACCATGGGATTCAAACCCGTGACCTGCTCTGATACCAATTGTTAGGATCAAGCACTTACCCACTACACCAAAAGCAATTGTCTTGGTGAAGGCGCAACCTTATTTTCCTTATAGCGTAGCAGCCAGTGCCACGTTTCGATTTAGAAAGATGCTGGAACCGTGACCAACAGGTTTGCCTAAACCCAAACCACGGAAGGCAAGGGCCAAAAAGATGAAGATCAAGGATGAAGTCTGTGACATCCGTCATTTTTGGGCGTCAGGTTAGCACCTTATAGGATTTTTAAAATTAA